TTACAGAAGATTCTAGTAGAATGTAAGCTCTATGATTATGGAGACCTTGTGTTGTTCACTGAGGTATCCCCAGTACCTAGAATATGCCTGGCATGTAGTAGGCATATTCTACAAATAGATTTATTACTGAGATATTTATAGATATTAGGCTGGTAGACAGAGACTGGATGGAGAAGCCATTTTTGAAACTTGTCTGACCTAGTAGGCTACAGTGAGGACGTGTGATGGTAACAAATGCCTCCCCCATTTCAGGCTACACTGACATTCTTTGGATTTGAATTCAGAGGATCTGGGTTCAAACTTCTGTATATTAACTTTGTGGCCTTGAATGCTGGCACACTTCTCTAAGCTAGAACTTCCCAACTGGTGGACAGGGACTGGGTTATAGGTGTGCTGAGATTTTGATCTTCTCAATTCTTGGAGTAGCCAGGTAAGGCCCAGGGCAACCAGAATCTCTGGGCTCATCACCTCCAGCACCAGCAACCGCATCCCTTTTCCATAGTGAGATATGTACATATACACACATATGTATGTATATACAAGTATGTGTGTATGTGTATGTATATATGTATGTACATATATACACATTTTTTGCAATGTCCTATGTGTATCATAATATGGAAAAGGTTGGAAGCACTAAGAGTTGCAGCGTTAGCTCCTCAGCTAACAAACTCTGTCCTGCCTTTGTCAACAGGTTGCTGTGAGGATCACATGAGATATAGGATGAAATGCTTTCAAAACTGCTGATGGTTATACAACTGGAGGCATCGTGACAGACCACAAGCCTGGTGTCATTCAGTAGCACAAGGAGAGTTTGATTCCATGTCTCCAGTCCTAGTTTCCTCACCAGACTCCCAAATCAACAAAGAAATAAGAAGAACTAAAAAAAGAAAAAGATGGCATATAGAGGTCCAAACATTACCCTATTTCTGATAAGTCTGTATTAGCAAGTATAGCTGTAGGCAAGTGAGCTTCCTAACTCTGAACTTCAACATTAGGCCAATTCACCCAGCCAGTCCCAGGCAACTCTGGACCATACTTTCCCCCGACAGGGGAAAGCTTGTCCCTGGAACTGCAGAGGGAAAAACATACTTCCTGTGGGCAACTTACTCCCAAAAGAAAGAGAAGGAAGGACTGGTTCATGCATGTCAAGTTTCTTCTTCCAAATCTACCAATCAGATAACGTCACTCCACCTCCCCTGGGAAGGGGTGTATGAAGGGATGGAGGGAGTGCAGGAGGGTTGCACTAGCAGAGCTCCTCCACATGGAAGAATGCACATCAGATGCACCTTCTTAAGATGTGAGAGGAGAGTGTGGTCTGTTTCACCTGCTGTTTCCTGGCAAACATGGTCATGGAGGCACTGGACTTTTGTTCTACTATCAACAGAAGTCCCAGTGCCCCGTCACCAGCTTCCTGGGTACAGAGAAGCAGGAAGTGGGGCATCCATTTTCACCCAGGCAGACCAAGCAGGGACAGTCTGGCCCTGGAAGTGGTTTCCTGATCCCTAAATATGGATAAAGGGTGTAGTTCTGGAGCTACACTTGCTGTGGTGCCTTCCTGATTCCCCCAGCTTCCCCACTGTGACACAGGTAGCAGCCACCCCAGCCGACGTTTCTGCAGGGCTCTGCAGGTTACTGCTGGAGGTATAGCCTAGGACCTTCTCCTCTAGCCCATCCATAGATTTTTAAGCACCTAATTTTCTAAATTACATCCTTTTCTGCTTAGAGTGTTCAAGTGGTGTCTGTTATCTGAACCATAACAATGATTGAAGAACATTTTATCAGTATTAGCCTTTCCCAGAAACCTTCCTTCCTCTCCCCTTCCTGTCCTCCTGCATTGGTTCTTTTCATTTCTTCTTGACCAGCACTGGGTCACATACCTATGACCTAAAACTATCACTAGCCAAGGGAATACAAGTGCATGTTTGGATTATACTAATCATCGAATCACCAGTGTGGAATGAGGAGCATTCCACTTTTCTAGACCTGTATTTTCCTATCTAGCAGCCCAGCTCTACTTATTCTCTGTCTTGCGGTCCAGTGTATAGAACTAAAAGAGAAATTGTCAACATACAAAGGCCAACTTTCTTCTAAGCTACCCCTCCAGATTCCTAGATTCTTCTCTCCTTATAATCTAGGCTGTTGGAGAGTTCTCTTAAACTACACAATAAATACCTGTTGAAATGAATTGATTTAATTTCTGAGTCTGGCAGTTTCATAGGCAGCCCTGGGTTACCCACAAATAAGCCACTACTTATAGAGAGCAGACCACAGAGCAATTACACTGAAGTTATAGGCTATTCAAGTCCACACCTTAGAACGGTAGTAGGAAATTCAGGTGGAATTTACTGCCAACCCCTCCTCTCCAACTCACTGCTTGAAGAACACAGGCCTCTAGTGCCCTTGAAGTAAGGAGAGTGCTGACTTTCTCATAGTCACTTGGGCTTTTTTCCTGGGGTAATCAGGTCTTTCCTCCTTCCTTAGTCTGAGAGAGTGATGACATTTTTGAGTATTCTAGTGCTTTTGGTTAAACTATCTTTCCTCTTGGAGGGTCAGGTCACATCAGTGAGTACATATATTGAGTATTCACTTCATGCAGAGGACACTTGGGGCTGTAGAGTACATACCTCAGTTCTTATCCTCAAATGATTTATAATCCAATGGGGCAGGGGGCAAGAAATGTATAGATAATGATTTTTCTTGTTTATTTTTCACTACCTAGGTCACTAAAGGGATACCTAAAATTCATACTTCTGAATCATTTGAATGTGTGTGTACGGGGAAACAGGAAGTAGCTTTACTTCAGCTCATAAAAAGTCTACAGAAACCTTTTAAGTCTTTTTCTGGAGATTGAATGAAACCACTATTCCAGGTCCAAGAGAATTGCTGGTCATGATCCCTTCAGGGTCCTCTCTGCTTGAAATGCAAGAATTGTGTCTATTTGAACCATTTTCTTTAATATTTAGCACAGCTGAACTGTAAACTCATTCTGGCAGGAACTTGATGACATTAATCACCTGTCTATCTACAGTTGCCCAGCCCATTTTAGATGCCTGACAAATATCACAGGATTCAGGAAAGAATGAAGGAACGGGTGACACAGCACAAGAGAAAGTACTAAATACATGTTTTAGAAGGGGATGACTTGACATTCACCTGCCCTGTCTACCTTCACCAATGATCTCTCCTTGCTACGACTGGTCAAGCTCAGCCAGTGCACCTGTTTCCACATCAGTAGCTTCTGCTCGTATTGAAAGTCCCTTGAGGACATCCCACCTAGGAAAATAAATTCCTGGTGAAAACAAAACAGGAGAGAATTTAAAGGAGAGATGAAACTTCCAAAAATCTTTAAGTCAACATGAGACTTTTTTGTAAAGGCATGTCGCCTGATGAGCTCTCAGTCCAAGGCATGGCAGTCAATTTGTGTAGATGATAAAACCTCTCAGTGTCAATGAGGGGGCACTGTTAATATCCAAGTATGTGATCTGGGTCCTATGCATATATATTGGATGAATGGTGCCTACACATTTGTTATATGCTGAATTGTGTGCCCCAGAATTCATATATTAAAGTCCCAACCTCAAAATATGAATTATCTCAGACATCTGAGTTACCTCACAATGTAACAGCATTTGGAGATAAGTTTTTAGAAAGGTATCAAGTTAAAATGAGTCTGTTAGCAAGGGCCCTAATCCAATCCAGCTGTCCTTATAAGAAGAGGAAATTTGGACACACAGAGACACCAGATGTGCGCACTCACAGAGGAAGGACCATGTGAGCACACAACAAGAAGGTGCCCGCCTGCAAGACAAGGAGCGAAGACCTCAGAGGAAACCAAACCTGCCCACACCTTGATCTTAAACTTCAGCCTCCAGTCTCCAGAACTGTGAGAAAATGTCCGTTTAAGCCACCCACTCTGTGCTTTTTCATTATGGCAGCCCTAGCAAACTAATACCACATATATTACAGAATTCCTCACTGAGGTGTTACCACAAAGCTGTGTTTGTGCAACACATTCATGTACTCACTGGCTCTGGGTAACTGGGATTACAAAATAAAGCACAACTGACTGATAGCACAAGAGATCAGGTTTTGCCAGAGGGAAGCAATGGGCAAGACTTTCTACAGTCTCAGGAAATTGTATACCCCTTGGCACCTGTAGTTAAATTTTCTTACCACTAAAAATGATGCTTTTAAATGTTCCTTTTTATCTTTTCACTCCATACCCTCTTCTCTTCCCACTTTGCCACCCTTCTACTCTTCCCTAAACCGTACCCTCTACACCACCATATCCACTTGCCCTCCAGCAAGCCCTAACATCCATTTCTAGCTTTGCTTAATAAAAAATAAAATAGCTGCTTTGTTTGTTTTTAAGGCTTTAAGCGGATCTCCCGAACCAAAAGTCAGGAGCAAGTTTTAAAACCATTTTGTGAGGGTAAGATTTTCAACGTGGCCTCACATCACTTGAGACGATGGGCTCAGAAAAGCAGAAAGTCATCCTGAGGTACCAGGAGGGGGTTCATTATGGGAGAAAAACACCTGAAGGCTCAGCTGGAGGCCCACCCTATCTCCAGGGCAAAGGGGCACGGAGGACGCAGCTCTAGGGAAGACACCTATCTGAGCAGCGCAGTGAGAGTCTCTGAGGCTTGGGGCTGAGGGAAGCCCCTGTTAGTGTCTGCAGGAGTCTGTCTCCCACTGTGGGTGCCATGGTGTCCACTTCCTCATATAAAGCAGTGGACTAGGCTCTGGGAGACCTAGAGAAAGTCACTTCACTTTTCTGGCTCTGAACTATAAAAAGTTCCACTTCCTGACCATAATGTAAGATTAGACCAGATTAGTCACTTTCCATTGCTTTTAATGAACTTTGTAAAAAGAACCGTGAAAAGAGCTTTAATGTGAAAAGACCTGTCGTCACACAAAGTCTTACACATAAGTTCATATTAAAAACAAGCAAACACATTGCTGGCCTAGCTCGGTGCAGAGCCCCACATACTCTCACCTTGCCCAGCACCACCTCCTTCTCCTTCAGGCAGCAACCAAGCACCCTCAGCACATCCTGTCAGCTGAAACAAGGTGAGAATCACCAGATCTGATTATCTCTAGGGCCAGGGTGCTGAGAAATGTTTAACAGCAAGCTTGGTCGGAGATGGGGGTGCTGATCTGTAGTGTTTGCTGACTTCTGTGGTGTAGATAATACCACCATGGCTACTTTCAAGCTACTGATGTCACATCACTGAACTGAAAAACAGCACGGAACTAAAACTAGGTGGCCAGCCAGTGAATGATACAACAACCCAATGAGGCAATGACACACCCAATAGGCTGTGTACTTTGAGTGATTTGTTCAATCATTTGTGGGGATTTATACCCATCCAACCACATTCTGTCATCCAGCCTTCCATGTGGTAGGAGGTACCAACTGTGGCTACAAGCTATCAGCAATGCACTAAGTTAGTGGGGTCTCCTTAGATAACCTACAACAGGGACTTCATTGATGGCCCAAGCTAATTATGAGTGAAAACTCAGGCATGCCAAGAGGCCTACACGGGCTCTACCTAGACCTCCAGGCAGCCATGATCACACTGCCCTGGTTGGCTATGATCTTATTGCGTCTTAGCACTCCTCCTGGTTACTATCTCCTACAGGTAGGATCAGTGTTTAATGTATACTTTTGTCCTTCCATTTTCTCCAGAGTCTTTGAAAACAGCGAGGGCGTTCAATAGCCAAGTAGCCTGGATTCTGAACCAGATTCCTTGGAACCAAAAATTTTAGTTTTGTCACTTATTAGTTGTGTGACCTTGGGCAAACTGCTTAACTTCTCTGTATCTCAATTTCATCCTCGACAAAAGGTGCATAATAATAGTACCTACTTCACAGCATATGTGGGAGGATTAAATGAGTTTCATACATATAAAGGACTTAGTACAATGGTTGGCACATAGAGTATGCAATTCAAATGTTATCTATTATAATATTATTATTACGTTAGTATATATGTATTATCTATTACCATTATGTGATAGATGAATGCATGCGGGCGAACAAATATGGGAAAGAAGGGCCTGAATGGATGCGCAATGGGATTCTTCTGCAAAACAAATACCAGGTTTGAGTTTATAATAATAATTATAATAATATCTGTAACCTTGGCTAGCATTTATTAGATGTTTAAAGTGCATTTTACAAACATTATTTCATTAACTCCTCATAAAAATTCTAACAAGAAGGAACTACCAGTAGCTGCATTACACAGATAAGAAAACCCAGGCTGGGGCTTCCCTGGTGGCGCAGTGGTTGAGAGTCCACCTGCTGATGCAGGGGACACGGGTTCGTGCCCCGGTCCAGGAAGATCCCACATGCCGCGGAGTGGCTGGGCCCGTGAGCCATGGCCGCTGAGCCTGTGCGTCCGGAGCCTGTGCTCTGCAACAGGAGAGGCCACAGCAGTGAGAGGCCCGCGTACCGCAAAAAAAAAAAAAAAAAAGAAAAAAAAAGAAAACCCAGGCCTGTGGAGGGTAAGTAACTATCCCAAGATCACATAGTTAGTGAATGACTCAAATACAGGCCTTTGGACCACAGAGCTTAAGCTCTTAACCACTAGTCTTTACTGCTATTAGCCAGCTCCTATCCTCCCACCCACTGCCTTCTCTCCTCTGTACTGTACCTCGCCCCCTGCCTTTCTTCCCACCCCCATCTCTCCATCTCTTCACCTATCCCTTTGGGTCCATCAAAGACCTCCTTTCTGAAGACTTCCCAGACTGTTCCCCTTAGTATGACACTCTCAGCACCTCCATGTACTGTGTGCCCCTCACTCTTTCCCACCTATGGCTATGCTACCTGAGACTCTCTCTGTGTCACACAAGTAGCAGTCTGGAGGTTTTGCAAGATCTAGGTTGAATCCATGCTCAGGTTAAGACACTGCCCCAAGCCCCATGATGCAGTCAGTCCCTGCTGAAAGCTACCCTGTATATCCATCAGGGTTCCCCAGAAACCACCCTCTGCTGCTAGCCCTGATGTCAGGGAGGGTAAAACGGGAACAATGGGAAGTTCGGCTGGGCAGAACCAAGCCCTGTTTAACCAAGCACTCTTGACTCTCAGTCACCTAGGCTCAGTGGTACAGAAGAGGGTGTAGAGCCAAAATCATCTAAGAAACATTCAAGCTATTTCTACAGGAAATAGAAATTTTCTGTAGAAAATTTCTTCTACTGAAGAGATGATACAGCCTCTACACTCAAGGTGCCTACTGCCTGCTCATGGATGCTGAAGCCCTTTAAGAACATCTACAGAGCGACTCACAAGTGAATGCAAATACAGTACAGAGCACAGAGAAGAGAGATACTGAGGGGGCGGGAAGTGAAAAGGAGTGCTCAGAATGCAGCAGAACCCTTCAGGGAAAGTTTCCTAGAGGTAGTGAGTAGATTTCATAAAAATTAAAAATAATATTTTCTTGGTACAAATTCTATACATGCCCATGACAAACAAATCAGAAAATGCAGACAAACAAAGAAAGGAAATTTCAAAAAAAAACACCTACAATCTCACCCACCCAAAGACAACTTCTGTTAAGTTGTCTTTAAGTCTCTCAACACCTTGACAACCAGATTTTGCAGGAGGCAAGGAGCCAAGCTGGAGCACAGGTTGGGTGTGTGTGGTTAAGGAGTGGGGGAGTGGGGGAAGGAGGTGGTCCTGGAATTTTAGTCTACGCCAGGAGTAAGTAATAAGAAATCTATTTGATGGGATGGAGAGGTAGAAAGTTGAGGAAGGAGACTAACAGAAGATCTCTCAGACCAGGCAGAGATGAGAAACAGGAAGTAGTACCAAGGAGCCAAGCTGAACAGTGACATGATTCAAATAATCATAACAGCAATAACAGTGAACATTTGTTGAGAACTTACCATGTGTATGACATTGTGCTAAGCACTTTACATTCCATCATCTCATCATCTTATTTAATTCTCATTATCACCCTATCAAGCTTTTGCCCAGTCTCACCAATTGATATTTCTTTCTTTTTTTTTTGCCACGCTGCATGGCTTGCAGGATCTTAGTTCCCCCACCAGAGCTCTAACCACTGGACCACCAGGGAATTCCCAATGTTTCTTACAGGGTACTCTATAGGCTACCTGCATCAGAATGCCCCAAGGTTTTTGTTAGATCTGTTTGCCCCATGGTTAGATTGCAGGTTATCTCTAGACTGAAATGCTTCAGCTCAGAGTCACAAATGAGCTTGCCCAGAAAATAACTGTAAAATGGGGAATGCCCATGGCTGCCTTCTGAGTAACCCACAGTCCCATTTCCTTCCAAAAATGCTCTAAGGATGAGAGAGACTGAGCAAGAGCCCAGCCCAAGATACGAGGCCTGTGGGCTCTATACGCCATCATTGTCCTTGCGTTAATCATTCCATAACCCAACAACCTAGAGAGACCCTTCAGCAGGAGGTGTGCTGGCCTCAGACGCAACAAGAAGATAGTACAGGTCAAACATTCAAAAGCACCTGAGGATCCAGGGACAGAACCAAGACTGGGAGAACAGGGTGATAAGGGAAGGTTGGGAGAAAAGAGCCCGCACCCTGGTGTTATTCCCTTATAAATTCACATGACCTGAGCCAAGTCCCCTGGCTGGCCTCTCTGGGCCCTTACCTGCAAATTAGGGAGTTGGCCTTAATGATCTCAAAGGTCCTTTCAGCTATGGGTGGGAAGATAGTATCAATCCAAGGGGCATATACTGCTGCTCTTGTTTACCTCTGAGGCAAGCCCAGAAGCCCAGGAGTCCCAGTGCCACCTGGAGGACTGGGGCAGATACAGGCTGACAGGGACCTCCATGGCCACAAGATGGATGACCCCCACAGAGGAGGTGGGGAAGACCAGGAGCCTCCCAACTCCGAAAACTCAAAGGTCTTTCACTTACATTATCTCACTGGATCCTTCCCACTCCCTAGTAAAGTTAGTATTTATAGTAGCCCCAGGTGTGACCATAAGGCAGAGATGGAGAGAATGCTTATGGGAATGGAAATGTATTTTTAAGAACACCCAGAAACCCGAGGTACAGGCAGCCTGCTTCCCAGGCTCATCAATTCCAGGCTGTGAGGCAGGTGTCGCATGCTACCAGGAATGTTTCTCCGGCAGTACTGAGGACCCGCCTTCTTTCTCTTTGACTCACTCTCATTGGCTGGCTGGCTGCCACTCACCATGGGGTCAGCCCTCCTATTGGGCTGAGTTTACCCAAGTCGCCTCTGAGGTACCTGTGACAAGATAATTGCGATGTTAATTCACTTGCTGTATTTTTCCATTGCCTCCTTCTCTTTCCGGGCAGGCACTGCTAATCAGGCTTTTTGTTTTTTCTTGCCTTAGGAATTCTTGCAGGACAGAAAGCAAAAGCTCCTTGAAGCTAACTGATCTTCCTGTCTGGGTAGAAGCCCTGGCTTATTGAGGAGATGATGCAGATACTCAGAGGGAGAGGGGGGAGTCGGGGTAAGGGAGAGGAGGGATTTGAAGGACCAGGAAAGGGCAAAGAGAGCCATCAGAAACCAGAAAGATAGAAAAAGGTACACAAACAAACAAAAACAAACGCTGATTATGAGAACCCATTCCAGGGTCCTGGGTAATGGCCAGATCTCAAAAGGACGTGAGGCCTTAGGCACTGAATTTCCAGTCTCACCAAAGATCCTGGGGGTATGACTCGGAAACAACAAAATCACCAAACTACAAGAGACCTGAGGCATCAGAGGAAAACTCAGTGTGGACTACAGGCTGATGAGTGGATTGGACACCTCTACACTTTCACCCAATTACACACAATCTTTCAGGGGCTTGAGCCCCTGAAGTGACAGACTAATCAGCCCACTGAACAGGACTGGGGGCTCAGAATCAGGTTTACCTTGATTAAAGAGAAAAGAAAGAAAAAGCAGAGGAATACAATATCCCTAGCTCAGCTGGGTTCTAAAGTAAGAGTCACATCCTGACATGCATAGCTGCATGAATGACCCCACTGTCCTGGCAAAGATACCAGTTACATCACCTTAATACCCAAACCTTATTAGCTCTAAGCTCCCATCAGCTAAGGGAGAAATTCCAGTCCCATGCTCTGTTGGCTAGGATGCTCTAGCTGCAAATAATAGGATGCTTTTGCCACAAGTAATACAAAACCCAGATTCAAACATATAAGGAAATACATTAGAAGTATTTCTACGTATTTAGTAGTGGATTCCAGGTGTAGTACAAGGTGTGCTCAAGGTGTAAAGGACTCAAGTTGTCTTCATCTCTGTTTTGCTGTCCTCAAGATGTTGGCTTTGTCCTCCAGCTGGCTCCCTATGTGGTAACGAGAAGTCTTCATCAGACACAGTAACATCCTGAGGAAGCAAACTCTTCCTATGTCTGCTTCTGAGAAGCATGGAAACTTTTTCCAAAAGTCCCCTGTAGAATTCCTTTCATGTCTCATTAGCCAGAATTGGGTACATTCCTATTCTTAAACCAATCTCTGGCAAGGGGAGTGAGATCATTGTGGCTGGCTTGAAAGGAAGCTCAAGAGTCAACCACAAAGGACTCTAATAAAGTACTTTCCACCTTCCAAATGCAGCCTTGCCCACTGTGAAATCAGACAGATATAGTTGAGCTTGGATCATACTTAATTTATGTTAAATGCTTTCTTAGGGACCCTAGCATCCCCTTTTATAGCCTGGAAGGCTCTCAGATTTTCTTATCCATTTCTGAATTCCACATGCAAATGCTGCTCGTTTCCTTTCGCACAAGATTCTTCAGCAGAAACAGGTCCTTAGAGAAATATATGCCTCGGGAGTGGGGTGGCTCTCTAGTTTTCTGTACGCCAGATAAATCTAACTTCAGCTCTGGCTTAGCCAAGACCTCCAGCTTGTACCCTAGACCGTATCCTATCTTCTGCCTCCAGGAGAGAAAAGTTGGGCCACCAGCAACTTTTCATAAGCCATGGCAGCCACATTGAGAAGAGACTAGTTGTGCTGTTTTTCTCAGGAGGCTGTGTATTTGGTATCATGGTTTCCCCTTCAGGTTATTCAGTACATTGATATTAACCCCATTTCACATAAGAGGAAACTGAGGTGCAGATTGGTTAAGTCGTATGCTTAAGGTCACTCAG